CCAAACATTCTCTACAATCAGCTGGATTGATGATAACTTATTAATAGTTACATTTTTTTAAGGGGGAATGTTATGTTGCATCAGACGGTTTCGTCGTTTTTAGCTCTGTTGCCTTAAAGTAAGAGGTTCCTTCTCCTGCAGGGAGTTAGTATGTCATCTCCCTCTGAACGTCTGGGTTCTCTCTGGGTACTCCACAACATGCTGCAGGTTATGGGTGTATACACCCTTTAAGCCATAGACTATGGATAACTTGGTAGCTACATAGAATGAACAGTAATAAAACATCAGTTCTTGGTTCACTGAACATTCAACAGCAGCAGCTGACCTATATTAAACACTTTAACTGCAGACACTCTGAAAGGGTTTGAATAAATTTGAAACTGCTGCTTCTCTGAGCTCTGGGAGCTAGCGGTGCTACTTCACACAGAACAGGAAGAATTAAGAGGTTCTGTTTGTGGTTCTGCCTCCCTGCTTCTCTCCCACCCACCTGCCATCAAAGCCAGATCAATGCTGAAGTCGGAGGACTGGTGAGGTTTCCCCACTGAACAAACATGAGTCCCAAAGTCTGTGCTCTGAACCTGCTGGATGGTGAGCTTGATGCTGCCGGGTCTGTAGTTCATGGTGTAACCGGTGCTACAGTTCTGGTAGTTTCTGTGCTTGATGTAGTGACAGAGCAGCTGTTTGTGAGGACTCGTCCACCGCATGGTGAGCTGCTCGATGTTCGTCTGGTCCTCATAGTCATAGAGGCAGGGCAAAGAGGCACCCTGCCCCGGCCGACAGAACACCTTCACAGTGCCGCCTGGAGACACAGAGCTGAGGGTGAACAATCAGAACCGGGCCGCAGCCCCAAACCTAAACTACAAGACCAAACAGGCGAGGAAAGGTGTCAGTTCACATGCATGGTTGTTCTGTATCACTTGGTGCTGAGGTGGCTCATATATCTGCTGACTGAAGGTTTTCATCACAAGCTGCTGAACTTTAGGGAAAGCAGAGTCAGACTGGATGTCATAAAACATTGATCACTGAGATGTTACATCAGAACAGAGCTGGGAACACCAGTTTAAATCTGGAATGGATTTTTCTGATCCAACAAGGTTCTAACATCTCACTCCTGGTGGTAGAACAAATAAGAGTTCTGCTAGAAGCTTTTTATTTCAGAACCAGTTTGGATCAGTGTCTAAACATCCAACCTAAGCCTTAATGCTGCTGATATGAGGGGTTCCCCTTCATTATGTCCTCCCACAGCATGATGCTGCCACCTCCATGCCTGACAGTTTCTACAGCATCCCTCTTGTTGCAGTGTCCAAAGGCTCAATCTTGGTTTGGATCGACCACCTGGATGTTTGCCTGTAGCGATAAGCTTGAAGGTCCTGATCCTGGAGCAGGACCTTCTGACTCCAAACTGATGTTAAATCATTCAATAGTATTTATAGAAAATTCAAACATCTGCTTTCTGTTAAAAATTATTTCATTCTGATGAAAAATTCAAGCCAAATTACTAAGACCTTCGTGTCCGGGGTAGAGGAACTGAGTAGCTCCTCTAGGGAAAGACTTTTACACCATAAATAATCCCTGCTGCAACCAGACTCTATAATGCAACACTACAACAGCAATAACTTGTGCAATAACTAATGTGCAAGTTACCATTTGATACCCTGTGCAATAACTGTTTCTCTATATTTGACAACCAGTGCAATAGTCATATAAAAACCATCTATATAAATACCCATGTCAATACCCTGTGCAATAACTGTTTCTCTATATTTGACACCCAGTGCAATAGTCATATAAAAACCATCTATATAAATACCCATGTCAATACCCTGTGCAATAACTGTTTCTCTATATTTG